CAGCTTGTTTTTCAGTCAAGGAGGACGTTTCCTTATTTAGTTGAGTGAAACCTGTTGTGATAGCGTAGGCATTCCTGAATGAGCAGTTTCACATGCGTACCTGAAAAAACGTTTATGGCATTTCCTCTTACCAGACTATATAGAATGCGCCACGCACCTTTCTCTTCCTCAAAATTGCCAGACTGTTTGAATGTACCTATATGGCCACTAGGCAAGTGACCTTCAGAAATGTCAGCAGAGGATCAGGCCCACCCTTTTCAGTGTGCGCCATGCTTTCACCTGTTGTGCGGAATTTCTTTTTTAATGGGCAGTCTGAGTAGTCTAACCCCGAACAGTCTAGAACAATCAACTCAGGTTCCGATAAACCAATCTGGAGTCCTGATCGTTGCACTTCTCCAGAGCCGTCGAAAGAGATGTTTGTCGTAGTTAAGAGAAAAGTTAAACTGACACTACAAGAGTGCTTTCCGGCTCGTGAAGCGTGAGATGCACTTAAGGATAGTCACGAAAAAAAACGGTTCCAAGCTCATAGTGCATTAGCTATTTAAACAAGAGCTTTTTAAGTCTTGTTACTTGACGTCATTTTTTCCCGAATGAACTTTTCTAGAACTTTAGTCTGGAGGCGGCAATGATTTCTCATTCTTTTCCGATAAATACAGAATTTATAGGAATGATTAATGGGCATGTGACATGAATAATCAAGGCGATATGTCCGTTTATGATTCCGTTTGCTCATCGTCATAGATAACCACACTCGGACAGCTGCTGTCTGGGCCGACTATGGGGGCTAGGGGATCATTGGGACCGATTAGGCTATGGCGCCTGTAGCGTGTGTGTGTGCGTGAGCGCATTTCCTCCTCGTCAACGAGCCGTCACTGAAAAAAACATTGCCATTACAATGAAGAGCACAAAGGGCGGTCGTCCCAATGTGGCGGCCCTGATTTTGGGGGCAATGAATGGTTCAGGTGGCCTTTGCACTATTCCTCACCCCCCACAATTTACCGCTGTCGTTCTGGCGTCTGTGGCAGTCGACCGACGGCTACCATGACGGCGATTTTCTTTTTTCCTCCGACAAACGTCCGACGTTCGTGGTCGAGATAGGTGGTCGCAACGATCTCTATTCGTCAACCATACGACGCCGCCAACCTCCGCGCTCGATCGCACAGGTCTCGTCGTTCCCTCTCCCCATGTTACATGCACACTCGGCTATCTCTCCTTCCCAGATGTACTTGCACTTGAAGCGTTTCGTCGCCCACGTCTATACGTCGAATCGTCCAAACACGACATCATTTCTGAATTCGAAATGATATTTGTCAGGAATATGCCCTATAGAAAGGAATCAGTAATCACACACATTGCACGCCTATGTTGCCCTAACGGTTGGTTACGGTAATGCTTTAGATATACACCATGTGCATGGGGGCAATCGGATTCATGTTCAAAGTGCATGTTGTCTAATCGAAATCGATAAAGTACCGACAGAGACGATTTGAACTTAGATAACACGAAGGAATCGATCTTTCAATTTGAATTTTTCTGGGATCAGACGTACATATCGGAGGGGAGGTGGAGACTTCATAGATGCTCAGACGGATCTTGAAGGGACTGAAGTCTTTCGTTGCCTACAACTTCATAGGCACACAGAATAACTGTGACAGTCTTGCCAAATCGCCCGAAACTTGCCTGGAGCCGACCGAATTGTTCGGGATGCGCCTTACTCTAAACTGCTGGGGTTTCAATTGCAATAGCATTTGAATCTGAAGCCCCTAACTTCACAAAGGACATTTGAGTGAATAGGAAGCGAGCTGATTCCAAAAACTACGCAGAACCTAGCCGTCCTTTATGGTTACTGCATTACTTCCGCATGCGATCACATAGATTTCAAAAAACCTCGAGTTAATGCTGCCTCAGAGAGGGGTTTTCAACGTCTATCGGTCGCGGTGTTCCAGAAGGAATCGAGTTCTCTGAACTCTATCCAAAGGTACACAGACCTGTTTTCAACGATTCCATTTCAGATCTGCACTTTCTATGTCTGTTGTATACGCCCCTATGCAGGGCAATTTAGCCAGTTATGACTTTATGGTAACAAACAGTTTGATAGATAGGCCTCTACAATAGTGATGGTGGTGGCGGATGACAAAAAAGTTGCACTTGAGGTCTTGCAAAGTATTGACAAATCAGCTACGAAGAAGTACTTTGATTAATGGTTTATGGGCAACCAATCTTCTACCAAGGGTGGGTAACCAAAGAATGAGCCATTCTTACCCAGTGATGAGAACGAAATCAGTGCTTCCAAGACCGTGTATGTTGGACGATTCAACGGAACCACCGGCAATATACCCTCATTCCCTTCCTATTCTTAACAGGGTCCCCACATTAGCTCAGCAACATCCATTTACCTCCTCTGAGGACTGGGCAGGCCTTCATACTATCGTGGCTCCTATGAAAGCCCCTTCGTCTTCAAAGGGCCAGTTTGCTTACCCGGGTGATGGCGGAGTTGAACATATTGGCCCTTGCTGGAGGTGATGCTTTTGAAGGACTTCGAGGGAAAATTGCGGTATGTTCTCCATAAAAAGGCAGGGCTTCCTACACTTCTGGGATTGCGTCCTGTTTCGGCTAACTTGCAAGGCTTCCGAGTAGTAGCTTCCAATCACAGAGTGCTACCGACCAGCATTCTCAGTCTGTGAAGATTTGGTTTCCGATCTATATGAGAACACACTTGATTAAAGCTCGGAGACGGCCCTTGATTTTAAGAAAAGGATAGTTTTTGTAGAGGACAATTGAAAGCCAATCCTGAAAACATGAGTCACCGTTCCATGGTTGCGCTCCCTTTGAACCTACCTTAACAAGCATTTTAGCCTGTTTTCTTAGTTCTACAGACGCGTGCTATTCATAAAGTCCTATGAAGGATCTGTCCTCAGAGGTTAAGCTCTTCAAACCAGGGCCCCAGAGTCCTTTTTTTCTGCATGGGCGTCGATCTCCTCGTATCTTTTCAGCAGAACTTGTCCTTCAACTTGCAAAATATTATAAACACACCCCAAGTACGATAGTTCAACGACTGAAGGGGAAACGGAAAAGGTCACGTCGGCAACGGGGAAGAGGGGTGGAGCATGACCAAGTCCTCCCAGAAATAGCTGGGCCGATTGCAGGCTGTTACGTGAACGTTTGTCGAACGGCAACGACTTGCTCTTGCAATCCGGCCGTTCGGCCCGAATCACACAAACATGTTGTTTATAGTGCATTCTGGAGAATCGGCATTGCAATGTGAAGTCGGAAACGAACGCTGCGATCGTTGATGCTCGTCTGCGCGTTTTTTTCGTTCTCTCTCTCTCTCTCTCGTTCGCCGTTCGACACTCCGACAGCGAGCAGAGCAATTCTCTGTATCACGCAGGATCACATGGGCAATTGGCTGAGAGCGAGACACATAGCTCACATGAGACGTCTCCTCCAAGTGCACTCATTCGGGTAAATACCGTATCCTATCCCTGGATACTACGCGGTGAGGGAATGTCACTCGCGTTTGTTTACTTTATGGTAGAGTACGCCACACCCACCAGGTTCAAGCTTGTACTGTGGAACCTGCTAAAGAGAGGGTTGTACGGGCGAAAGAAGGTGGGGATCAGAGGGGAATATAATGGAATCACTTGTTAAATAAATTAGTTTTGAGCAGTTAATTATATACAAACCTCCTCTCCTCCCCCCTCCCCGCAATGGCAATATTTTTTGGAGAGCGGAAGGGTCGTACGGGGCGAAAAAAATTGGTTGGTGAAGTGGGCCGTTCTTACAAAGCAATTTTCCACCATGCCATACCTGACCTTGAAAAACACCTAACTGAACCCTCCTCTGATGGGTCTCTATTGCATGCACTAGGCAATTAGGACAGAAAAAATCCTTCTGAAAGTTCCAATAAAAGTCGGAGTACCTACTTCAGACTGAACGGGGGTATTCCAGCCTCTCAAGTCATTGTGTAGGCATCTCTCCACATTCCACATTCCAAAGCACTCTGAAAAGCTTATTTCAACCAAAGAAATGCTTCTCAAAAGGTACTGGTCCGTTTCAACGAGTTCCGGCTGACTTAGGCGTCAGTAAACCGAGTTTGTAATCTTGGGAGGCCAATTAGATCTTGAAAACACCTTTTAAAGTTCAACATCCAGAATTGGGGCGAGGTTGGATCGGCGGCAGGAGGCGCAAGTATCACATGCATGGTTCGATGATCAAATTGGCGATTCGGCGAGCTTTTTCACCCAGTTAGGACGGATAAACTTGCACTTTCCTGTGGAGGCCGAAATCACTGCACTATATCCATAGACTGGTCACCGAATGTGCATGGGTGGAGTTGGTACAACAGCAATTATACTAGTACATCCAGAATCGAATTCCGATGAACTGTTCCTTAACCCATCCAAACTTCTCTGGAAAGTCATCTGATCGGTAATGTATCCATCCGGGACCGCTAAAGCTGAATTGGGCACCGTTAATTCCCGTACTGCCTGAATTTCCTCGGAAAGTCCTAGTTATTCGGGATAGGAGCCCTTTGATAGTGCATACCCCTAGAGTAACGCTGAATACCTCACCCTTTAGCAATCCGATCAGATGATTCACATCCTATGCATCACAAATCGTACCTGATCCCTGGTCTCATACATGGTCCAGATCCACAGAGAGCACACCAAGGTTCAAAGCCCATACTTTTTTACCGTATTGCAATGATTTGAGTAAACAATGACTAAGGATTACCGTAGTCCTTAAATTCTATTCAATGCACGTAGTCACGTACTTCAACATGAATGAACTAAAGTTCATTTATATGTTGCTTTTTGAACTTTTGTACAATTGTTTCAGAGCTTATTAAGTGTTATCTAAGGAAATTACATTCCAGGGTGTTTTCGTATAGTTTTTTGTAATGCTACATTGTTGCTGGAACTAATTGGTACACATTTCAGAGCACTTCGTCTCGTACTGGACTCGAAGGACGTAGCATGTCATTGGGTGCAATGACGGTAATGTCATACGACATATGGAAAGCGAAATGTGCTGCCGAAAAGAAACGTCTTGAAGCTGAAGGTAAAGCAAATGGTGGCGATGGAACGACAAAAGCCGAGGTTGAAGAGCAACAATTAAGCAGTTCACCACCAGCACGTAAACGTGCACATACATTTGTTGCAAGGGTAAGTATTGAGCTGACAGTTAGACTGGTCAATAGTTTTAGAATTTCTTATTGTCTCTCTGATTTTTGGGCGGCAGTAAAGGGAAATAGACAACTCCTCTAGCAATTTTTGGGCTCAGTATGACCTGCTGAGCCCAAAGCCCCAGCTTCCATAGCCCGAAAGTCAGGTTCTTCAAAGGGTCCACCCAAGCCCTGCACCTTTTCAAAGTTGTTCTGTCGAAGTCCCACAGAATCGCTGGTCTAAACCTCGGCTAATTCTCGCTAGTATATCTGTGTAGGCCGAAAACTTTTCAAGAGTTTCAACAGTCCTCATTGGAAGTCAGATGCGTGGCGCGTTCCGGCAAAGAGATAGCTGGATTCAAGTGATACTTTCTCTTACTGTCTACTTCCTTACGACGCAAAGCCATAGTTGATGTGGAATCGCTCCTCTGCAACCTTACGAAACCCTTCATTTCACAGCATGGGGTAGGCAAAGCAGGGCAGGTGGCACGATATTTGATCCTAACCACTTTGTCTAGAGTGTGCCATGCACACTGCTACTCGTTTTAGTGTTGAACGATTTCAAAGATCAGTCGAGAACTTGGGAGAGTTTTCTGTAAGGAAGTTCTTGAGCAAAGTTCATCTGTTGATAGTCATCATTCCATCTTGACAGGTCTGACTCTTTTATGATTTCTAGGAAATTCGGCCTATTAAGAGTCCTTCCGACACGAAAAAGGACAAACGGAGGCATCAATAATCACTGTACTAATCAGTAGAATCGTATTAAAAGAAATAGTCCATTGAACACCTTGGTGTCTGTAACGGAACGGATCTGACTCAGAGCTATGTAAAGAATGGCGTGTTTGCCCAGAATTGGAACCAGTCTGCCAAACAGCTTTCTCTCTGATAACCCCATGTTTTTTAGATGTTTGTGTCGTCGTTAAATCAAATGCTGTGCTATCTAGGGCAAGTACTGTACGGTCGGTGTGTATGTGATGTGATGTTTGTTGTCCCAATCAGCGAAGATTATCGAGGCCAAATTTGGTCTGTAAATTGAGGACAGTGTCTGGAGAGTTTTTTGCAATAGTTCCGAATCGTCGATACGGACACTTTTCAACGACATTGACCGTTATCGTTGGTGAAATTTTGCAGAACGCGCTTATCTTGATCCGATATTGAAGACGATCCGATTCGAAGGTTCAACAACACCCTACAGTCTGTCGTCGTTCATCGGCGGTCGGTTCGTTTCGGTTCCGCTCAATGATCGCACCCAGACAGGGGCCGCCCGCCTAGCATATACTGTCGTTTTTGTTCACCTACACACACACACACACAGATGAACATCAGGTGAAAATGTTCGACGTCGGCGGAGTGCACAAGACGGCCAGACGCCCCTTTTCTGCGCGTATATGTGCGTGTGTGCTCGTCGCGTGAGTGTGCACTTTTTTAGCGATTATTTGCGTGCGGCGCACTTTTCTCGCGCCGTCCGATCGTTCGCGTTCGACGTCGCGTTCCTCGTCGTCAACATGTTTTCCTGAACTCGCTGATCTCTCACAGCGACGCCGCACGCGACGATTTTTTTGCAGGCGCGCGGCAATAGGGCAGACTCTTGCACTTTGCCGCTACTGCTGCTGCTTCTGTGCTACTGCGCGATTATCGCCGCGGTCGTCGACGATGTCGCCACGGAATTTAGTCGACGTTGCGGGGACAACCCGCAATATTAAGGGACGTAGGCTGAAATCTCCTACCGTTTATCCCCCATCTGATCTCTGTTTATAATAACAGTGGAGATCTGAATGCTTGAGCGGCCTATGACGTGCGGCGGCTAGTACAAGTTTCCTCCCAGGCCAGTCTGATACCGATTACCCGACCTCAGTTGCGTGGGAGGCTCGGTTGCCCGGAGTTCCATACCGGGATTCGACCTCCGTGTGTATGATAGAGCGTCACTTGGCCCTGCACTCTCTCCACTTATGAGGCGGGTAGTGGAGGAACCGTCAGCTGGTTCAAACTATCCAATCTCATTGGCGTGACTGAGTTTGAGACCAACGAGGACACTTCTGACCAGTCAATTTCCGGATGTACTTGAAGGAAGCTGTAAAAAACGCTCTTAAGCTACAAGTGCACTAGCCATTTGGATAAGTGGTCTCTAATACTCAGTATCTACGTCAAACACTTAAGATTGACCTTGGGACGTACTTGCTCTGGCCGCATTGATCCTCCTTGTCACGAACCTGTAAAAAGGTTTCTTAAGTCGATGAGAGCCTCATCTGAACAAACGGAAAATGGATGTCTGAAGTGCATCGAAATAGTCTCCCACAAAGTACACAGGTATTTTCCCACAGACCTAAGGACTTCTCGGGAACATGAGAAGTTTTTGGATAGTTGTTGCAGCTAGTTTTTGCTCAAGCTTCGATGTATGTCATCAGGGAAGAAGAAGTTTTGGAAAGAAGTCTTGAGAGTCTGTTCAGATAATCATATCAGGAAAAATGCTTGGGTCTATCAATCCTTCATATCGCCGCTAGCCGTCCGTAAAAAGTGCTATTAAGTGAAAAAACCTACACAATCTATCAACTGATCAATTTGATCTCTGTTTACTTCTTTGCTTTTTACAGCCCTTCTTCGAGTGAGGGTACCCAGACTCAAGAGGTTCATTAGGGAAGAAAAACGAATAGAAGGTCTTCGCTAACTCGGAGAGTGATATATAAACTGTTCAATTCGATTTTAAGGGGTTTCACTGAATTTATTCGTACATACATCTACTCGTCCGATCTGGGGCGGTACTGCCAGAGGAGGCGTTCTTGGCAGAAACGAATCCCAAGCCACCCAGTTCTAGGCATTTTATCGTGACCGTATGTCACATATAGTCTCCTATAGTATCTATTCATTGTTCTGTGGGGTCTTTCAGACCTAAATCGGGTTTTTCAAATGTTTATTTGAGGCTACTTTCTCCGAATTGATCTGAAGCTCCTGCGTTTTTGGCAGATAGGGTTATCGAGTTGTCATTTCTTCGAAAGTTGTGGAACAGGTTCCTCGTCCAGCTGCAGCTATCTGAAAGTCAGCCATCAGACAAGTGAAGCACCTTTGAATCGTCTCTATTCTACTCAACTAAAACCCTGCCACAGATGAATGGGCTGATATCAAGGAATATGTAATTGACTTCATCCAACCAAAGAATCGCTCATATTTGGCAAACAACAAAATTCCCAGCGGTTTCGAAAAACTTGCACTTTGTCGATGTTTTCAAATAAACTTTTCTTGAGCCATCCCCAGCGAGTTATGAGCGAACATCAATTCATTTTATTACATTCGGCAAAGAGCTTGATTTCGAATTTTGCGTTGAATTTTACATTCGGGCGAAATATCGGATAGAATTGCTTCTTCAAATCAAATTTGTCTATTAACTGCAATGTTTTTAGTTTAAAATTTATCTGAAGCCATCTGATACTGAGTGTTGCAGGATGAACCGAGAGAAATCCCAAAAGTTTCACCGCCCAATTCGAAAGAGAAGAAAGGTCGTTACATTCTTTTGCCGACCATTCCTGCAATGAAAGTGTTTGTTGGCGAGGTAAGGGAGTCCCTTTGTGTTCGTCCTGTTTCCTAATTGCCATGAATTTCTTAAAACTAGTTCTCTGTTCATTTTCAGGACGCCCCTGCCATCGTTCCTCCCGAGCCGTCCAACATTCTAGCTCCGGACACTTCCGTGCCCACCACCACGACGGCGCCGCTAAGTCTTCCAACATTCAGTGCCGCACCAACACTTCCCATGCCGGCACCGTTACCACGTCCTAGCCCGATAGCCGTCACTGCACCAAACTTCTTCCCATCATTGTCAGGTGTTACACCGCCTGTGGCACCAGCTACTACAACTACGGCATTTGGTGCCGGATTCACTGCCGATCAACTGCTCGCCACTCTACTACCTTCAAGTGTACTACTTCAGAATGCTGGCTTATTACAACAAAATGCTTTGGCTAGTCTACTTGGTCTTGCAACGACACCAGTTGTCCCACCTCCTGCCACTTCATGTGCCAACGACGTACTGGCCCTTCTACGGGCACAACAATCTGCCCAGTTAGCTGCTGCATTGGCGGCTGTTCCCGGCAAGAATACCCTTCTTCCGTCCAGTACCTCGCCGGATGACCTCATTCAGACGTTACTCGCACAAACTAGACAACCTATTTTTTCCCACAGTCTTTGAATAAGCTGCCCGCCCCTTCCCAAGTGTTGTGTCTGATTAATCCAAACTATAGTTTACTGTAATTAGTGCTCTCATATTGCACCAACTCATATGTGACCCTTGACCCTGATTTTTTCGGTTCGATGAGCTCGGTGTACGACAACTCGTCCGTGATTTTGAGATGGAAAAATTTTTTTATTTTTAAAAACAGCTGAACTCATCGTGAAGAGATATCTTCATTCTTGTGTGTGGAGTGTAGTACGTGTGTGTGTGTTGTATTTGTGCGTGTGTTGGTATGTGTTGTTCGTCGTTTCTTTCATACGGGTATAATCGGCTAGAAATGCTAGTGACTCCACCTCTCCGTTATCCTCGCGTTTGTGACAGATGTCCACGACCTCATCATCGTTTGTGACAGAAGTCCAAAGAGTCATTGCGCATGTATGACTGCAAACAGAACGCTTCAATTTCTTTCCCTGTTTCTTTTTTTTTGTGCTGAATTTGAATTCTCAACGTTTTTTTTCTAATGAATTCCAAGAAATTCTTTCATAAATGTTTATGCGGAGTCAGGTTTATTATCGCGTTAAAATGAACTCATCGCTTTGATTTTTTATTATTACCGTTTTTCTTCGAAGTGCTAGTTTTTCACATTTTTTATGTATCGTATCAAAGACCTTTAAATGCACAACTAAAATTGTTTTTTCAAACTTTCCTGCTTTGAAATGGTGAATATTTCGGAAGCGGTAAGGTCCCGCGGCGACAAGCTGATTACGGTAGTAAGTCAAGGTGTGCGTTTAAAGGTCTTGTTCACATTGTGGTCAATCCTCTTTCCCCCACCTCCCTGTGCATGCAGCAACCTATTTGTTTTTGATACTGTTTCTCTAAAAAGCTTGGAAACTTGTATTGGTACCGTTTTTATTTGGATTAATAGATTCTTAGCTTGTAAGTATGTTTTGTGAGCGTTTCAAATCTGGCATTATCTACCCTTGACAACACTTTCTCCTCAGAACGTGGGTTGAATGAATGAATTGAATGCTGCCCCAAACGAGCCCTAAGAAAGAAGTGACCGGCAGGAAGCGACCATCGAATTCGCTGGGCTCGGAATCTCAGCGGGCAAACTAAAGTAGCTCGTAGATAAGCCTTTGAAGATGGAATAATTGGGTTCGTTCAAGGTAAATAATGCCAAGAAAATTCTTCTGCACTGTGCTGTTACAATGCTATTCTGTCAATAATATTCGTACCGACGATGCTTTTTTTTTTGGACAAAAAAATGACGTCATTTTCTATTTTTGCTAATCATTATTTTGTGTTAACAGCACAGTGCAATGAAGGCTAGTTAGATTCTCGTGAAAAAATATAAGCGGTCACGTAATTGTGAACTATCATCAATTATTGTCCGAAAATAGAATGCATTATGATGCGCTATCATATAGATATTGTCACGTAGTGGTGAAATCATCGTGATTCATGTACAAATGAAAGCAATCGATTTGTGTCTCTGTGTCTATCATCTTATTGATTCGTTGATTTTTTCCGTTCTTTGTGGGACATGTTGTTTCGTTTTCCTTGTGTATATGTAAACTATAAATGAAGTGCTAAATAGTAGTTGATCAACACAAGTGGTCATGTCTTGGATAACTCCCAGAAATTCCGCTCTGGACATCGTCTTAGCTAGTGGGTCAGAATGTGCTATTAATGCCTCCTTGTCACAACCAGGTCATCATCAAATCCGCACTGCAGCTTTGCCTAGTCGTGTCAGGACCCTTCATTTCTTACCGGCTTACGATGTGCTGAGTAATCTGCTATCTATAATACTAAAACTAGAAAAAAAACACCCCTTTAGTCATTTTTATAATATTGCTCTATTGCTAATTTTTATAAATGATGTGCTAAATAGTCTGAAATCTCACTAATTTTTAAAAATATTAAATAAGGATTCTGTATCATGTACAGGCGGATCTTTTACAAAACTTTACGTTTCTATTGTAATTTAAGTCCTCTAACTTACCTCAATTTTGCTTCGAATTTGTTTTCATTTATTTTGTTTTATTTTTACTTGTTTTCCTTTACATTATATATTTTTTCAAATTGTTTCAGAATGTATTGCCACTGATAGAGCAATCATAATTAGAAATCAATGCTCTAATTATGTTTCAAAAATCGTAATTAGAGCAGCACTACCATTACTATTAAGAGTTTAATAATTCTTTTCAAAGTCATAGGAATGAAAATAAACAGAATCGTCATGGAAAATTCAAATCAACACCTATGTGAAGTGTAAACTAAGTTGTATACATACAAACAGTGCTATGCAAAATATTATAACGAGAAAGACCTTTGCATGATGTATTACTGCCTAATAACGTAGCTCAAAGCTACTTGCCTTGTACATAACATTAATCGTTACGGTATTGATAACTATAACTTTAGCAGTAAGTTAAAGGCACAGCTCACAATAGTTTTGAAGCACCCCTTTTTAGTTGACAAGCAGAAGTAGAGGTTGGAAATAGTTCATCGTTACTGAAGAAAGCGAAAAAATTCGCCGATTTCGAGAAAAATAATGTGCCTCAGAAGTGGGGAAAATCGAGATTGGACGAGTTTACCATGACGAAATAAACATGGAAGGGTTATTTGGACGAGATTTCAATCGTCGCAGTTGCGCAAAGAGCTGACTATGTCATGGCAAAACTGCCAAGAATTGCCTCTCACTGTCGCTATGGGTTGTTGTTGCAAGTTGTTTGAACTTCCTACATGGGTTCCCTTGTAAATGGAGTAACCTCTACAATGCCATTGAAACTCGTCCGCGCATACACACGACTCAAACTTTGAGTCTTCATAACGCCCTGACTAGGTCGTTTTCGACCTGAGAGCGCCAGATATGGTAAACGAGGGGGCCTTAAATTCATCTTATGGAGAAATCTCAGAAACCATTTTAATTGTGAACTGTGCCTTTAGGCTATAGTATAGTCATTGACTATAATACGTTATTTTTAACCATCCTATCCTTGAATTTATATAAATTCATACCACAAGGTATCAAAGAGCTTACCGTGAAATTTAGTAGTAATCATTTGTAGTAATAAGTAGTAAAGCCATGCTGCTAGTGATTTTGACGGTAAATACACGATTCTTGTCTTCGAGAACAATATCTATACTAGGCAATGCTCAAAGGCTTCCTGAATAAGGCTCCTAATTACAGTATTGTTACTAAGTCTTGGACAATCAACGTCACAAATCGCCGCTTCGCCAAAACTTTTGCCAAAGTACAACTAGGTTGGGAATAAGATTAGCGGCTCATTAAGCTCCGCTCATGAATAATCTAAACATACAATGAATTATTTACTCTCTTGAATTTTTGCTTTCACTTCCAGGAACGTTGAAGATTGGGCGTCCGAGCACCTAGGGTATACCTGCAGACATAACAACATCATGAATCTTCCACCTCAATAGAAAACTTCGTTCCCAGTGGGTGAATAATATGGTTTATAGTCGAGACGACAATGAAATCTGATTATTTTGACACCTTTACTCAATAGCAAGAATAAGTGCGTTGACATAACTGGTGATCTCCTGCTTTATATCTCTCTATGAAAGCAGTGAAGAAAAGTGACGCACTTGACGTCACGGCCTATTAGTAGTGCATGTATGACAGGATGGTCTCACTTGCTCTATTGTCTTCGAAGTTGAGCAGTTGGAATGGGGTTTCGTTGGGATTGACGCGAATTGGTTGATTTTCCCGTTGCTCAAATCTTACTTCAAAGCCTCAGATGTACCCAGAGATATTAAGAATTATCAAAAAAGAGGTCAAGTAATGTTAACACTGTTAGTGGCAGAGTATTTGATTCCATCCATACTCTGTTTTACCCCACTTCTTTTACAGCTTCTGGTAGAGCACCTCTTTGCTATAGGTGTCGGAACCTATTGCGTCCGCCATATCTTGTGCACTTGCTGGGAGCGATTCTATCAAGCTAGCCATATCGAGCATTTCCGTTATACATATAACAGCTCTCTTGTTATTAGAACAAGGGCCCTATATTTCAGGATTTCTGTGTAATCTTGAAATCTTTCCACCTTTCTTCCATCGATTAACTATTATTTCCATCGCGTTCTTCCTGTCACCTTAAACTCCCTGTAGCCACAATTTCTTCTATACTGAAGTGCGAGTGAAGCAACAACAATCATTCAGACACAACACGTTTTTCAGTAACGTTCTCAGGCAGAAGAAGTGAAAGGGCTTTTTTTCCGTGGGCTACAAAAACACAACAGCCCACTTCAAAGTGGGGAACAACAATCTTCGAACATCGGCCACATCGAGCCGTTCAAACACGCGTCTACCTCCATGTTTAACGGAAATGCTGTCAGAAGTGACACTACTACTTTTGTACGATGAAAAATGCTAGGGTGTAGGCCGAAAATAAGCTTGAAAATATGTTTGTCTCCATTTTGGAGCTTTTATTTACGCATACACCAGCTAGAAATGCGAAGTAAAGCACATATGCAAGAGGAATAACGTTCCGATATTCGTGATTAAATAATATTGTTCTCTTTGAGTGCATCCTTGGGAACTACAGGGTACAGCAAAAGATTTGACAAAATCACGTGACAAGTACTCTATAAGGAATGAGGCCTTCGACTCGACAGGATCTGTGCCACTACTTACTGCAATTCTCCTCCTATTCATCCCATGAATTGGCTGCTCTTAAATATGCCATTTTGCAGAATGGTGACAAGCAGAGACCAACTAGCCTGCTTCCTGCACCTCAATCTGGCTGGACGCACTGCAAAAACCATCTCCAAGCAGCCCCCAGATTTTAAGCACCGTGTACAATAACGTCAACAGGTACAAGGCGACAGGAACTACGGAGGGCAAGCCTAAAAGTGGAAAACCGAAGAGTGTAACGATAAAGGAGATCGTGAAAATTATGCGAGCGAAAATCCGCCGCAACCCTCGTAGGTCCCAGAGAAA